CATTGCACACATGCGCACACGCGCGCACGCACAGGTAGGCTACGGTGGCTTCCTGAGGACAGAATAGTGCTGCCCTGAGCACCAGACACCACGCCCTGGAGGGAGTGGGCACAGCTTCCTTCACGGGTCACAGAATGAATTCTTTGGCACAGAGGATTCTATTGAGGGTGTTTTCCTGAGCGTGAATCAGGTTGCTAGGTTGTAGCACTTTGTTCTGGAAACTGAGAAGTTAAGCCCGATATGTTGGGGAGTTAAAGGCCTCAGAAGCTATGGACACAGTCCAGAGCAAAGTACTTTCCCTTCATTTTTAGTCCTCCCAGGTCAGAGGTCACCAGAGCCACTCAGGCTGTGAGGTTCACCTTTCCTTTCTTTCCACTATTTTTTCTTTTGTTTTCCTTCTTTCTTTGCTTCTTTCTTCCTTTCTTCCCTCCTTTCTTTCTCTCTTTCTTGCTCTCATTCTTCTTTCTCTTTCTTGCTCTCATTCTCTTTTTCTTCCTTCCTTCCTTCCTTCCTTCTTTCCTCCTTTCTTTCTCTCTCTCTTTCCTCCCTCCCTCCCTTCCTTCCTCCTTCTTTCCTTTCTTTCTATCTTTATTTATTTTCTTGGCAGTACTGGGGTTTGAACTCAGGTCCTCCAGTTTGCTAGGCTCTTGCCCTAGCACTTGAGCCACGCCCCCAGCCCTCTTCCCACTGTTCTTCACCAGGCCCTGCCCCCACTGGGATGTCCCCAGCCCCTACTGAACATCTATGATTTCACTACTCTGGAGCCTTGGGTGTGTAATTTCCTGAAATCTGGCAGCGGACCACTCCTGCTATAAGATAACCTCAGTTTGGCTCCAAAAGAATGTTTCATTTTAGGGAGAAACAGAGCTCTTTGAGGCTGCCAAGATAAATTAGCCGCAAAGGCTCCCTCCTACCAATGTCCCCCACCCCCGTAATTGTGGGTGAACCTGTTTTTAATTTAGAGTTCTGGGCACTGAATGGCGTCCCCTGACAGTGATGGTCAAAGCAGGTCCTGTGTTTCCTAAAATCCTGCAAGCCAGAGGCCACAGAAACAGTGTCTAAATTAAAAACAATGGCATTCCTCCTGCAGGGGGAGGTACAAAAAAATTCATCCCAGGGGGCTGGGGGTAGCTCAGTGGGGGAGTGCCTCCCTAGTAAGTGGAGAGCCTGGGTTCCATCTTCAGCACTGCAAAAAGAAGAGGAGGAGGAACAGGGAAGAAAGGGAGAAGGGAAGGAAGAGGGGAGGAAGAGGAGGAGGAGGAAGAAGAAAAAGAAGAGGAGGACGAGAAGCCTTGAAAATCACAGAGATGCCAGGCAGGCCTGGACTTCGATCCTTCTATGTGTGCCTCCCAAGTAGCTGGGATTACACATGTGTGCCACCATGCCTGGCCCCTAGCTAGGCTCTTTAGATGAAGAAGAGTGAAAAGGCACAAGGCTGTTAGCAAGGGGAGCATCCATCCTGCAGTTACTACAGATTTCCTTCGTCACCGCTGGGATATGTGTGGCACCAGGGCCTGGAGAAAGCACCCAAGTAGCACAGTGCTTTGAGTCTACAGTCTCTCCTCCCTCTCTACTACACTCCACCCCTTCCTGGTTATATATCCACAACCAGCGATTGGCTTCAGGAAGCCTTGTTATCATCATTAATGGGGACAATAATGTAACAGGTTCTTAGAAACCACTTTTGCTGAAGCACTGACTCTTTCCTTGGGCCCACAAATTAACTAAAAGCAGGAGAAGAGCTTGATCTCTCTGCTTCCATCTTTGTATCTGTCTTTGCACTGAGCCATTCACCTTGCAGCCACCTTGGAGTCCAGGAAGGACAGGACTGATCGAAACATCTTTACAAGGAGAGATGGAGAGAACTGCACCAAAGAAAGGAACAGCAGAGCCTCTGCAGGACAGCCTGGCTGACTCCTTTATCCTGACCAGACTGGTCCCCTCAAGTGATGACCCAAAACTCTTCAATAATGATCAACCAGGTGATACTTTGATCAGGACTGTTTAATAATTGTGTATACTCTTATCTCCTGCCCTAATTCTTCTATTTAAACCTAAAGCTCATGTATGTACCCCCAGGATAGGCTCAAGTGCTCACTTTGCCTCTTCCCATAATAAGCCTCCTTTCTCTGCCCTTCACCATTCCTTGTCTCTCTCTAATTGGCATGCTGAAGGGAGCGGCCAGGCCTGACATGTGGAGCCTGTGCTGGTGTTGGGCCTGGGCCTAAACTCCAGTTTCAATAGTAGAATCTACCAAGTAGAGTTGCAAAGGGTATGAAATATAGATACAATATTTCCCTAATTCCTGCTACGTTCATTTAGCTTAATTACCGTTAGCTGTCACTACTCTTTTGGACATTATTACTCACTGTAGCTTTTCTTAACTAATAGCTATGCATCTGGAATTGGTGGAACAATAGTTTTTAAATGAGCTGTTGGGAGGGGGGTGTCTCAAGTGGCAGAGCACTTGCCTGTCATGCACCAGGCTCTTAGTTCTCCTCCAGCCCTTTTTGCTCTAGTTATTTTGGAGATAGGTCTTACTTTTTGCCCAGGCTGGCCACCACCACAATCCTACTATTTTAAGCTTTCCATTGTGGCTGGAATGACAGGCACGCACTACCATACCCAGCTTTTTATTGGTTGAAATGGGTCTTGTGAACTTTTTGCCCAGGCTGGCCTTGAACCATGATCCTTCTGATCTTAGCCTCCTAAGTAGCTAGGATTACAGGCATGAGCCATGGGCTCTGGGCTTCATTCCATATAATTCTTACCAAGCCACATGAGGTGGGAATTATTCATATTACCCACTTTTCAGATAAGAACGCTGAGGCCCAGGAGATGTGAGGGCTATTTCCCTGTGTCACCCCGTTAGTTATTAGCTGGGATGGGACATAAATCTGAGTCCTCTGATTTATCCCCTTCCCCTAACCCATATGGAATACGAATTTTTGCAGGAATTCATAAATCCAGAAAGTCACTTGGTTAGCCAGCAATAAAGAACCTAGAAAAAGGAGAAATCTTGTCTCCTGCCCTCACCACGTGATACATGCCACAGGAGCTGTGCAGCCCCACTGGGAAGGTGTAGGGCAGTCATCAACCTCTCATTGGGAAGAGGAACTCCCTTCAAATAGCAAAACCACAGTCATTACAGCCCCAGGAGGGAAATGCTTCTGTGAGTTTAACTCATGGGCCTCCAGATTTCAGATTGGCTAGAGATAGCCAGCTGGGCCAGCCTGGTTTCAGGCTCCCAAGTGAAGTTAAACTGAGGTCTCTCCAAATGCTGATCTTAAAATTACTTTGGATCAACCCAGGTGATTAACAGAATCTGATTTTTAAGAGTCAAGATGAAATCTTAACTGATATGAGCACTAAATTCACTTCAGAGGCCAACTGGCCTGGGCCCAGGCCTCAGGCATGAATTATTGGCATGTGAGAAGTTATCTTATTTTGAAAGACCTTCAGAGAAATTGCTGCCTTGCACTCGTTTGTTTTAGGGACTCAGGGTGGGTCTAAATGGCTCAGGCTTAGCCTTCCTTACCTTCACTGTCAGGAATCTGTGACATCTCTCCTGCCATTCTTGGGGAGTAAGTGATGGAATCACCCCCACCCTTGTCCCTGCCTCGGCCCCATGCCGTTCAGACCACTCAATCCTTACGCCCACCCTTCCTTTCTAATTCTGAATTAAAAAAATATCAAAACTCCCATAATTCTCAGCTGAAACTTCCCCCAAACTCTTTTAGTCAAAATGATACACAGTATTCCCCATCCAGGTCTGGCCAAAGGTGAGGAGATTTGAGGATTGTTTTATCTCAAAAGTTCTGTCTAATTGCTAGGCTATCATGAAATTATCCAACCTTTGTTAATTGTCTTGTGAGGAAAGAGCAGAAGCAGGAGTCCCCCACTGGGAATCCCAGTTCTGCTAGCAACAATATGAGCTCAAGAACAAACATGGAATCCACTCTGACCTCCAGACCCCTTTCTGTTAGACGCATGTAAACAACCCACAGAGACCCCCATCCCCCCTTGCGTTATCTCCTTACTTGCACCACTGGAGAATTTGCTGGTACCCAGCGGTGTGAGTGTGAGAACAACCTCTCTCACCACAATCCCACGCTGACCCCTAGATGCCCTGATTGGGGGCTCTCTAGCTTCCCACTCCCCCACAGGGCAGCTTTACCCTCTCAGGAGGTACCTTCCTCAGGAACTCCCAAAACAGCCTGAGAGCGCATCCAACCCTTCCAGGTCCTTCCGGGCCTGGAGACAGTGCATATTTCTGATCTGCTCATCCTAATAACTGCCAGCGCCCCACTTTCTCTCCACTGGCTCCCCATAACTTGTGGGGATAGAGGTACCTGCTGTGACCTTTCTGAACAAACCCCAAGGACCAGTTTCAGACCTGGAGAGTTGGTCCCCGCAGGCAGACTGGTGGGCAGCCTGGGGACCCGCCTGGGCGGAATTTCTCAATCTTGTCTAGAGAGATGCAGCCAGGTAGCCAAATCCAGGTGAGGGAAGATGAAAAGAGGAAGGAAAATCCCGATTCTGCCACCCAACCCTGGACGAGGTGCGCTGTGTCTTGCTCCCTCAAAGAGGGTCCCCTGCATGTCCCTCCCTCCCCACTCCACAACACACACACACACACACACAGACACACACACAAGGGACAGACCCAACACCTCCAAACCCATCCATGAACCAAGAAACTGCGCACCAGGGACTGAAAAGGTGTCCCCACCACCACCCAGGTATGTCCTTTGTCAATCGACGAATGGGACAATCCCCTCTCTTGGTGCCATGTCTCATAAACAGGTACTTTGTCCTGTTTCTTGCCCTGATGAGGGCGTGTAAGCACCCGCACTTTCACTAGTACCCGCTCAGCACGCGCCCGCCGTGCCAGGCCTCTGTGATGCGGCCCAGAGCCCCGCGACCCGTGTCCCCCGCGTATCTCCCGCGCCCAGCCACGGTGCGCCCTGTGTGTCTCGGCCCGGAGGGAACCTGCTTACCTTAATGTTGCAGAAGATGGAGCGGGGACAGTGGTCAGCTCGGTCCGACGTGGCGCTGCTGCCCTGGCGCGAGCCGAGCTTGGGCAAGAGCCCCATGGTGGTGGTGGTGGTGGTGGTGGTGGTGGTGGTGGTGGTGGCGGCGGCGGTGGGCCAAGGGCAGGAGGGTGGCACGGCAACACGAAGCTTGCGCCCCCTCCACCGAGCCGGAGCGGCGCCTGCAGGCCGGGGAGCGGCTCTCCGGGGCCGGGTCGCCTCCGCTGGTGCGGCCCTGCGCACGGATGGCGAGCGCGGTGGCGGTGGCCGGAGGAGGCGCGCGGCGCGGAGACTGAGCCGGAGTGCGCGCCCTCGAGTTTTTATAAGTGGCCGCCGCCGTGGCCGATGAGGAAACACGCTCTCCCTCCTCCTCTCTTCCTCTGGTGTCAAAGACGCTGGCGAACCCGCGCCCGGCCGCTGTCGCCTTCGCAGACAGGTGACTTCGGGGACCGGCGTCCAAGCTGCGGAAGCCGGGGAGGCGCTGGGTGCGCTGGGTCTGGACCAGGATTCGGACCCGCGAGACTGGACCGCCCTGGAGAAGGTCCCGCCTGCCGGGAACGGGAGGAGGAGAGAGGTGGTGGCCCCAAAGAGGGGGCGACAGCGGCTGCAGGCGGGTGGGGGGATCTGGGGCGAGAGTGGGCACAGCGGGGACGGGCTTGCAGGTGAGTGGAGGGGATCGAGGAAATCGTGGGCAGGGGTAGGGCCAGGAGGGAGCTGGAAGGGGTCCGAGGGGCGCTGGGGGCGCCCTTGGGAGTCGGGGTGCCGGAGCGGAGGTGAGCCGCGGCACCCCGCCCGACGCACCGGGGAGATTTAAGGAGCTGGTCTCTGCTTGTTTGCACTCGCCGCCGCCAACCTGGGCCCTCAGTTCCGGTGATGGCTCTGAGACTCGCCGAGGCTGTTTGTGCAGAGGACTGATTTATATTTAAACTGCTCTTTGCGCTGGAGAGGGGGGCGGGTAACAAGGTGGAGAGGTGGGGGCCGCCCGGGGCTGGGCCCAAACTTTCTGGACCTGAGCCAAGGTAAACTTGAGGCCCTGTCAAGTGTCAGGAAGGCTGGGTCCGGCCTAGAGTGAGGCAGGGGGCAGAGGGAGGGACGTTGGACAATCGAGTTGCCCCCTATTGACCTCCTTCTCAGGGCTGGAATGAACTGCAGGTTTATTTCTCCCCAAGATTTTTTTTTTTAAAACAGTCAGGATTGGGAGCTCAGAGAGAGAAGAGAAAGAAGGTGAGGCTTTTCCAGAGAAGACTAAAAAGATTCTGGGAAAGACAGCTGCAATGAGGAATCCAGTGGAGTCATCCTTCCAGCCCCCTACTCCCATTTCTGCAGCCTCCTCCAAGCCCACCTCAGTCCAGGAAAAGATGTCCCCTATACTCAGGGAGCTGCAGCTATGACATAGGCCACTAGATGGATGGACCCCATTGACTTCTTATTTGTTACCAAGCCCTAATGCTTTTCCAGGCTATCTGACTGGAAGGCCATGTGTCAGGGGCTTCTCCTATGTACCTGCAGTCCAAGGACCCTGGACACAGAAACATCCAGAAGTCATTGGACAGCGGGCAGCCTCTGGCACCTCACTCACCTGCAGCAAGGTGCACCCAGAGAGGTTTTCCAAAGGCCCCCAGCAGCCCCAGGCCCACCACAAACAAATGGTGACTCCAGGTCACCATTGTGTCCACTTGGAGAACATGGAAAGCAAGGACAGCTATCAGGGAACTCTCAGTGTGGCTGGGCACTGCCTGTAACACACGTGGTGAATTGTGCCAGGGTCTCAGCTGAGCACCCCTGAGGAGCATAGTCCATGTTACAGCAATATTACAGTCTGGGTTTTACAGATGCTAGTGAAACCAGTTAAAATTGGTATGATTGCAATTTTTACACTGCAAGGAAGTATAGAGTTGGACCTGAACTCTGCCCATTCTGACTCCTATGCTTGAACTTGAAGCATTTGAAAAGTTTTCTAGTCAAATAGTCTCATTTCACAAGCAGAAGTCAGAAAATGGCCAGGCTGAGGTCACAGTCATATTGTTAGTGCTTTTAATTAGGACCACCTAGCTAGTGCTTCTTCCTCAACATGTCTCTGTGCCATAATTCTCTCCAACCCACAGGCTGTCCTGTTCTGTTAGCCTTGCCCTCTGCCTGCTGTCGACTCCCAAGGAAAAGTCTATTCAGAAATGCTACCAGGTTCAGCTAAATGGAGTAGAGATCCAACCAAAGTGACTTAAATGAGATCCATTTATCTATCCTAGTAAGAGGTCTGCTGATAGTAGGTCTGGGGGTCATTAGCTGGGTCCCTTAGGATTCCTTAGGATGTGGCTCTCATCCCCATGTTCACCTAAGTGTCACAGATGGCTGCTCTACTTCCAGCCGTCTCTCTTAATTCCAGAAAGAAATGGAAGACAGGAAGCAGAAAGGGGCCAAACTTATATCAGGGAAGCAAATCTTCCATACACCTAAAGCTGCTTTTCCTTAAATCTTATTGGCTAATACTGGGTCACACAGCTACCCTCCATAAAGGGAGCTAAGAAATAAAGTTAACACCACTGCTGCCCCCTGAACAAACTTGAGGTTGTATCAGGGAAAAGAAGAGAAAGAACAGTGTGTTTTCAACTTTCAGTGTCTATACATACAGTAGCCATTTCCTTACAAGAGTACCCCTAAGGTCTGTCTCCCAGACTTTTCATCCTTCAATTTCAGGAAATATATCTTAGCACTGAAAAAAAAAAAAAGCCCACAGAGAACAAAACAAATATCAACAAAGCATAAAAGCCTGAGTTCAAACCCTCTCTTGGGTTGGGCACCATGGCTCACATTTGTAATCCTAGCTACTCAGGAGGTAAATATCAGACAAAAAGTTAATGAGATCCCCATCTCAACCAATAAAAGCTGGGCATGGTGGTATGTGCCTGTTATTCCAGCTATATGGTAAGCAAAAATAGGATTGCAGTCCAGACTGGCCCAGGAATAAATTCAAGTCCTTATTTAAATAATACCTAAGGCAAAAAGGGCAGAGGAGAGTGGTTCAAGTGGTAGAGCACCTGCCCAGCAAGCACAAGGCCCTGCGTTCAAACCCTAGTACTGCCAAATGAAAACAAAACTCAGCCAAACCAAACCTCTCCAGTCTCAGAGTGGGAAGGAAGGAGGGAAAGTCTCTTGTGAGGTAGAAAACTACTGGGCTCAGCTCCATGGGGCAATAGGAAGGCTTGTTTTGGGGGGTGTCAAGTGGAGCCCCGGGGACTAGAAGGATTAGGAGAACTGAGGTGAAGGTGGGTAAATCTGCTCCCTGGTGTCATTCTGGCTGGAGCACAAGGCCAGGGATAGTGAGACTATGTGAGACAAAGATGCTGGAAAGTGGAGTGCATGCTAAGAATGGAGGCCTTATCCCCAGCTGGTGACCTGTGCTGTTTTGCATTTCCCATCAGCCTCGCTGCAGACAGGTGAGAGAGGAATGGGGTGTTGGAAAGAATCCTGGTAGCTGGGATGCAGGACTGAAATGCATGGCGGGAGAGCGGTGGGGCAGAGAGCAAGGCTCTGCTTTGCACACGCTAGTGATGACTCCCAGGATCTGGCTTGTGTGACCAGCACTGGTGATGCCCACCCCTGTCAGAGGAGACCCAGAAGGACCAGTGGAGGGGGGAGGGGGAGGCTACTGGGTCACATAGGCTCACTCTGAGTTCATATAGTCTGAGCTACATGCAGGTAAGGATGGGCAAAAGGCAGATGACTCTGCAGCTGCAATGCCCAGGGTAGATGCTGGGCTCCAGATAAGGGCTGGGGAGGTGGTGGGAGACTTCAAGAAGGGACAAGTCACTCAGTGTTGAAAGCAGGTCCAGCAGAAATCATAGCAATATCGGGGTGGCCCAGGGATGGAGCCAGAGAGGAGGGAAATAGATCTGGGGAGGATGCTTGATAGAGCCCAGAGGTCATATTTCAAAGAGAAGCAGGACAAGACGCAGGGAAGGGACGACTGAGGAGCAGCTTTTGGGTTGGTGAGGTCTGGCATTGAGGACCTGGGTGACAGGGTTTCGAGGAGGAACCGGAAGGGAGAAAGTGCAGACACACAGTGTGCTCCTACCTTTATTGTCACAGGTCACAGTTGAGACAGTATCTGGGTGACTAAGGGCACAGATGTATAGTCAGACAAAGATGCTGTCTTACCACACATAGCTTACTGAACCTCTCAGATCCCAAGAGGTATTCATGTCTGCCTTGAGGACAGGAGCTGGAGCTGTTGTGGTGGTTGGTAGTGTTGATGTTGCTACACCGCACGATCTCTTCCTCCAACTCAGCTAGTAACTTGATGAGGACAAAAGTTCATTGTCAGTTCTCTCATGTCTGACATTTGGCCAGCTCGTCCCCCTGCTGAAAACTATTTATTACAGGGAATTAAGCTGGAATGATCCCAAAGACCCCAGCAACTGAGAAGGCCTCATTGCTCCTGAAGCCTCCAAATCATTGCTGTCTCCATCACAGCCCATCCCTGGAGAGTCAGTCTGTTCTCACTGGTGACCAGGCATGGACTTGGTGGTGGGTCCATCAGTGTACAAGCCACACTGGCCCATGCCTATAGCAGCTGATGAAGTCTCTGGCTGCCTGGTTCTTTGTGTACAACTCACCAATGAGGAGCGGGGAATCCCCAAATGACTTCCTCTTGCCCAAAGCCAAGGGCTCCACCTCTTTGTCACTATTACTGGCAGTGCAGCTTTCTCCCTTTGTGAGCAATCCTGACCACTATTTTATATTTTTATTTAACACAAAGTACCAACAGACTGTACTGGGTGTTGGCCAACACTCATTCACTTAATCCTCAAAACAGCCCAACTTTTATTGGTGCCATTTTGGAGAAACTGAGGTGTAATAACTGGGTCAGCCACAGGGCTGTAAGTTGCTCAGATGCAAACACAGGCTGTCAGTATAGAATCTAAGTTCTTGGAGGACTCTCTCTTTCTCTCTTTTTTTTTTTTCCAATACTGAGGTTTGAACTAAGGGCCTCACGCTTGCTAGGCAGGTGCTCTACCACTTGAGCCACTCATCCCCGTTCTTTTTGCATTGGTTATTATATGTATTTATTTATTTGTTTGTTTGTTTGGTGGGACTGGGGTTTGAACTTAGAGCTTTCTGCTTACAAAGCAGGTACTCTATCACTTGAG